AGATGTATGCAGCCCCACCTGATCCTGTGTGGGGTTGAGGATCCAGTCTAGGGCTTTGCATGTTAGGAAAGTACCTTACTAACTGAGCTAAATCTCCAGATCCAGACCGCGTTTTGTGTTTCTATTATTTGCAATATTCATTTAAATTGGTCTTTTCTACAAACAATTATTTGTAATTTGTGTGGTACAATAGGTACCTTGATAACAACGTTTCTGAAAATGTATGCAGATGTATCACTTGGATAAATTCTTAGACAGGAGATGGAAGGTGGAAGGTATCTGTACATTCCTAAGGTCAGGAGGAATAGTGAGCTAACTAGTGCTTTTCTCTTGTTACTGGGTGCTGTGGGCAATCCAGAAGTGAAAGACTGTATTTCCTACCCAGTGCAAGAAGAAAGCAAGATGGATTCCAGTGAGACGTTAAACTGCAGGACTTATGTGTGAAGCCCAGGGTCTCCAGAGAGCGGGGTTAGAGAAGGCAGGACTAGACAAAGCAGTCATGGTTGAGCAGACCATGTCTGCATTTCTAAAGGGGCATGGGATTTAATTGGTGAGTGGCACGGGGAAACCAGAGGGTACTTTGCAAGGGACGGGGCCAGCCTTAGAGAGGGTGAGTGCTACACACACACACACACACACACACACACACACACACACACACACACGATAGTACTCACATAAAATAGTGGCTTTGTGAAGAGATCTGATGCTGCTGGGGATGTGATGAGGGATTGAGAGTAGTTGAGAGATGGCTAAAAGCAGGAAATGGAGACCAGGGAACTGTTTCAAGGAAGGGGTTAGAAAACATTTGAAGGCTTCTGTGCATTCCTCACTTGGGACAGTCCATAGAAAACAGTCTTTAGAGTACCCTACATCTCAAGTAATTCACGCTACCCTCAGCTAGGTGCACACTTAGTATCCCCTCACTTGGGAGGCTGAAGCAGGAGGTTTGCAGAAAAGAAAACATATCATGCGTGGTTCTTTAGTCACTGACTACAGACATGTATCTATCCGCAGAGACCTAGGCATGAAGTGGCCATAAGCTTGTAAAGGAGCTGAAAATTTCCCATTGGGTAGTGTTTGGAAACACAAATATCTCCTGACTGAGAGTTGCCTGTGGCAATCAGTGTCATGTTGTATGGGCTTGTCATGTAGGAGCAAAAGGCTTTGCCATCTAGATTTGTGTGAGTATACGCCGATATTCCCATGATGAGACATCAGGAGGTTTTTGTAAATCTTACCTTGGTCTTGCAGGCCCTCCAGTGTCTGACTCTTGGTTCTTCTGCTCTTCACTCTCTGTCCCAGTATTTACCTAAGTGAGCAATCATTTCATTCACTATGCTTTCCTTCTCATGCTGCATTTGTCGCCCAGAAAGCTCTAATTGTCATTCTTCAGTCTTAGCAATTTTCAAAAGCACTCAGAGTTAGCTAGTGCTTCTGCTTGCATTTCCTGTAGAGGGGTTTTAATGCACTTTATTGGGGCTTGGCATATCTCTTAAGCATTTCTCCAATTACAAAGGGGGCCCTTTATATAATGTGGTTATAGTTTAAAAATTGTAATTTCTCTGTGTGTGTATATATGTATGTATGCATATGTGTTGATGCATGTATACCACAGCACATGTGTGGAAGCCACAGGACCACTTGTGGAAGTCAGTTCTTCATTCTTCCACCATGGACTTCCTGGCATTGAACTCAGATGGTCGGCTTGGTGGTAGGCGCCTTTACCCACAGAGATATTTTGCCTGCTGAAGACAACACTATTTTAATTGCTGATACTGATTTTCATCAGTAAACTAAGGCAATTGCCTATTTAATTTTAAGGAGAGTTATGAGGATGAAAATATATGTGGCAAACATTTCACATGCATATATAGGAAGAACTGAAGTGTTTTGCCCATTTTCCACATTTTCTAGACTTCAACTGTGTATATTAATAAAAAATAATAAATTAGTAGGGCATTACATTGCTGTTCTAAACTTGGTAGACTTTTCAGTGTATTTTTGTAAGTCTTCACTTTTCAATCTTAATTTTCAGTGTCTGTGATCAAGTTTATCACAAAGCCTCACAGCCCTATATATCGGAACGTTAAAAAAAACAAACAAACAAAGGTTGATTTCAAGGAGGACCACTTGAAAAGGGAGTTACAATGAGGGATGGTCCACATTAGGCTGGTCTCTGGGCCTGTCTGGGAGGAGTTTTTGTGATTAGGTGTATTGATAGGACAAGACCCAGTTTGAAGGTGGAAGGCACCTGCCTCCAAACTCAGTAATGCACACATTAATTCACTCTTCTGCTCATGACTGTAGATGTGCCATGACTAGCTGTTTCTGGCCCTTGCTGCTGTGACTTTCCTGCTTTGAGGGACTGTGACTTGGAAGGGTAAGATAAAAGGAAAACCTTACTCCCCTAAGCTGCGTCTGTCAAGGTATTAGAGCAACAAAAACAGAACTTAAGACACAAAGGCTGGAGGATTGCTGCTTAAGGCCATCCTTGTGCACATAGTGAGTTTCAGGCTATTTAAGGCTACAGGTTAGGCCCTGTCTCAAAAAAATAATAATAAAAGGAACAAACGACATCAACAAGCCCACAAAATTTCTTTTTTAAATAGTTTAAATATATTTTATAATGTATGCCATATTAGCGGTTTGCCGCTAATGAAGTATTTGGCACAAATGAGTTTTATAAAGGTAGTTTATGTAACCTGCAATTTTGGGTCATCAAAGTCCAAGAATAGGTAGTGTACCATGGATTTAGCCTCCAGTAAAGGTTGAGGATAGTGACCCCTTTGTGGCAAGGCCCCATGTGGGAGCAAGCAGTTTTATCTCCACCAGAAGGCACAAGGAGAAACTAGGGTCCTTCCGTCTATATGAATGCCTGAGCTCTTAAAGGTTTGTGCCACCCGACAGTAGCTCCACCTTGTGAACCAAACCTTTTATTATAGTGATGTGTCATCCTCAAAATAACAGACTCACGGTATAAAGTTAGGAAACATAAACAGAATGAGCCGGGTGTGTGTCTCAGTGCCAAAGTAATTTGGTATGAATACGGCCCTGAGTTTCATCTCCAACGCTGCACAAAACAGAACCACACTGTAATCCTCAGAGGCTGCCACTGTTGCTACTGTGTGTGTGTGTGTGTGTGTGTGTGTGTATACATATATATATGTGCATATTTAATCTGTGCATTTATGTTAACACCTATCAGATATTTGCTGCATATAGTCATTCACTTACGCTCTTTTAAGACAAAAATGGGACTATGATATAAGTTGCTTTCCTCAATTTGTGATTCCACTCACCCATATTCTGTAGTATGGAAGGCTGCCCATATTTAAATTTCTACTGTTCTAGAATGAGTTTTCCCAGTTGCTTTCATCCAGCGATGACCACCTGTGCATTTCATCCAGTCTTTATAAATCTGCCATGCTTGTTCCTCACGTTTTTAATTCTCCTTGACATTGTTGACATTTTAAATAAAGCTTTTACATCAGCCTTAAATAGATCTGATGGAATAAAAAAATACAGCAATTTGATATGTTATACAACTCACTTTAGAAACATAACTTCTGAGTCAAAAATTCCACTTTAGTTTTTACACATAATTTGGTCTTCATAAATAAATTTTATGCTGGCAAGCCTTTTATTGATCACTTTGCATTTCTTTGTGAAAAGATTATAGACTTATATTTAGAAAAGATTCCTTTGAGCATGATGCTCTTGGGAGTTTTTTTTTCTAAATTGAATTACCATTATTGAGGTTTGTTCTAAACTTAATTACCATTTTAAGTATTATTAATGCACATTTGATCCAGTCAGCATAATTATACTACAGACTTTTGTAATTACTAACATTTACATGACATTGTATGCTCAGCATAGTTCTACTGCTTCAACAGGGCAGTGCCTGTGGAAAATTTGTGGAAATAAAATGTGGCCCGGTTTTTGAGCTTCAGATGTGCTTCCCATGTCACTTAATTTCCGTGAACCTTAGTTTCCTTATCTGCATAAAATAGTAAATCTAAACATTAAGTCCTTGGCAACTATAAGATGTTTTAAAGTAAATTTAAGGAAAGACCTGTTCAAATGTAAAGTTCTCTTATTAGAACTTTGTACTAAATAAGCAACATACTGTTTATTAGTCCCTGATATCTCTAACATTCATTTTTCTGATCTATTCTCAAGTGAGGTTGCTATTTATTTGGATAACAGTGTTTGGTTCAGTTAGGTGAGAGAGTCCCAAGTAATTTTAACTGCATTTCTCTTTGTGTCACTCCAATTCTGTGCATTCATGCCTGTTGAACTTTGTTACTATCTACGTATGAAATTAGTAATTATGGAGCAGTATATTTTTTGATTAACAAAACATTTTGAAACATTTTGTTCAGTGTAGTATTAATGATATATCTTATATTTCCGGGTACTTCATGTCTGTTGAAAATACTTGATTAGATTTAAATAGTGTACTGTAAAACCTGAGGTAAATACATACCCATTACTGGTGCGTACTGAGAATTCCTGGATCATCTTTCTTGGAATTCTGACCCCTGTGAATTATTAACACATCCCAGTCACATGCCTCCATTCTCTCTGTTTTGTAGTAGCCCCCACATATCAGGAACCCAAGTGGTGACATTCATATGTGTGATCCTCCCATAACCTGCTCAGCACACCAGAGTAAGATTTGATGTGTGAGAGGAGATTTGACTTCTGTGAATTTGTACTGGTTAAATATGTGTCAGTAAGTAGCAACTGTTTCTTGGTCAAACAGTCGGGACAGTTGATAGACCTTTCTGGTTTTGTCTGATCTCTAAATCTGTGCTCTGTGGTGCAGCAGCCACTATCTCCATGTGGCTGTTGAACAGGTAAACTCTACTGTTCCTGTAGCTGGCTATAATGAGTAAAAACAGAGAAATGCCACTCCATTACTATAGCATTTTGAGTATTTTCTAAAAATACTAAGTTTCTTAGGCAGCCATCACTGAGCCATGGTTGGTTTCTTTAAGAGGTCAGAGAGATGGAGTAATGGTTAAGAGCATGTACTCCTTTTTCTGAGGACCCAGTTTGGATCACACAGACATGCACACATACGCATAATTAAAAAAACATAAATTTTTCCAAAGCATCAGAACTTTATTTTCCCACCATTGTGAATGCCATGAGTCCAAGATAAGGTATCATGATTTGGTGTGACTTCTTCTATAGATCTCTTTCCTTATCTTGGAGATGATTTTAATTTCCTGTGTGCACAGATGTGCTTTTCACTTATGATAGTTTCAGTTTCTGGTCATTTTGTTAGGACATAACCCTTTTGTTAGTTAGAGGGGATCCTGTAGTATAATGACTACCAAATAAGGAAGTTTCTTTTTTCTTTTTTTTTTTTGGTTTTTTGAGACAGGGTTTCTCTGTATTGTTTTGGAGCCTGTCCTGGCACTTGCTGGGTAGACTAGGCTTGGTCTCGAACTCACAGAGATCCACCTGCCTCTGCCTCCGGAGTGCTGCGATTAAAGGCGTGCGCCACCCCTGCCCGGCCAAATAAGGAAGTTTTTAAATGTCACTGCAATAGGATATAGTTGCTATGTAGAAAGTCCGGTGTGTGTGTGTGCGTGCGCGTGCATGCGTGCGTGAGTGTCTTTCTTTCTTAGGTGCTGATGTGTGTATCTGTATAGTTCTATTTGTTCGTTCAACAATTCCTGATTATCCACTGTTAAAGAAATATTGTTCAGTAGTATTTGTTAAATCACAGCAAGGAAGAGTCCATTCAGGGCTGCTGAGGTAGATACAGGAACCCCCGCAGCCAGTTCTTTTTTTTTCACAGCCAGTTCTTACAGTGTTCGTGAGAGATTAGACTCAACTGTGCCTGTAGCATGGTGAAGTGGGACCTGGCAGCCAAGGGGCAGGATGGGCAGTCAGGAAATGGAACATGTTTAAGGGGAAACACACGTGCTGCGGAGGTTTGCTTAAAACAGTCTAGAAGGATTGTTGCTGAGGACAGGCCAGGATACACAGCCAGCTGTTGGGGGATGGTAGAGGATGAGAAACACCTTAGGATTTTGAGGACAGGACTCAATGTACATCACACTTGAAGGTTGTCTACAAGGGACCTATGAGAACGTCTGGCCAAAGAATTTGTTATGGCACGGACCTTGTGTTCAGTGCTTCAGGGAAAGGAAAGAGGACTCCTATGAGCTAGCCACTTCCTGTCACTGCAACAGAATACCCGAGAAACTTGAAGGAGGGGAGGGCTGGGAGCAGCAGAGGGAGAACATTGGATTATGGTGGGGGGGTGACGGGACATGGACTATAACCACACAAAAAAGAGTTACTTTAGCTCTTGGTTTCTGTTGTTGTGGGCCTCTGGAGGCAAGGCACAGTACTTGATGGTGAGGAGCACTCTGTGGAGAAGGCTGCTCACCTCTCGGTTTCTGGGAAGCAATATCTCCTTTAAAGTCCCTTCCCACCCATACCCAGTGACCTAACTTCCTTCCCCAGGCCCTGCCCCCCAAAGGTTCTCCCACCACATAGTCGTTTCTGGTGACCAGTCTGTCAACTTACAGGTCTGTGGAGGACAACAAGTTTCAACCTAAAACACTCCGAAAAGGTGCCGCCTACAGCAGGTGATTTAAGGTAACAAACATTTTATATGTAATTAAAAATTTCCCTATAACCTCTTCAAAGGGAGTAATTCTATTTCTTTATTTTTTATTTAAGTTAGAAACAATCTTATTTTACATTTCAATCACAGTTCCCTCTCCCTCCCCTCCTACCATGTCTCCCACTGACCCCCCATCCACTCCCCAGGGAGGCCTTCCATGGGGGATCATCAAAGTCTGTCACATCATTTGGGGCAGGGCCTAGGCCCTTCCCCATGTGTCTAGGTTGAGAGAGTATCGCTCCATGGGGAATGGACTCCCAAAGTCATTCATACACTAGGGATATATACTGATCTACTACTAGTCGCCCCATAGACTGACCAGGCCTCCTAAATAACACCCATGTTCAGGGGGCCTGTTTCCATCCTATGCTGGTTTCACAGCCGTCAGTCTGGGGACCATCAGCTTCCCCTTGTTCAGGTTAACTGTTTCTTTGGGTTTCCCCAGCCTGGTCTTGACCCAAAGGGTAATTTTATAGTTTATTTAAATTAGTTTCTCTAAAATGTTGCCATAACTTACAATCAGTATAAAAGTTATAAATGTTAAGGTGTGCATCTTTCATTCTAAATTTTCAAGCTTCAGAAGGTGGTTTACTTTTCTGTTACATTTTAGTTCAGATGCTAAGTTTTCATTGAATATATTTATATAGATTCAGTTTGTAATATAATTTATCACAAATGGCAGATAAGCCTCTTGCCAAGGCTGCAGTTAAGGATTGTGTTATTTTATTGCCAGGGTTTAGCTAGGAAAATCTAAAAGACAACTGGACTTCAGAGGTTAATCCTAATTTTTTTCATTGATCAACGAATAGCCTTATAACTTTGTAATTAATTTCACAGAGAATGAAAAGAATATTCCTTCTTCAAGGTCACCCCCAAATAAAGGTGTTGTTAGAGATAGATCGGGGTTGAAACCTGCGTGTTCTGCTCATGCTTCTTTGTGTCAATAGGGCATTGTTGTTTGCATGGAAATAGTGTGCTTGCTTTTGAAATCTAGCAGAGCGTGGTCCTTGAGTACAATGGACGTTTTCTTGTCTCAAGAGTTCCTATCTCAGAGAGCAAAGCTGTCACACAAAGTCAGTGACCGTCGGAGCCACTCCAGAGCAGTGGCTTCCATGTGCTTTGTCTTGGGAACTCAGTGAATGAAATTTGGGGCAATGGGAGGGTGAGTTTAGCAAGTAGTTTTATGAAGGGATTATAGGAGTGAGCAGAAGACAGCTCCTCCATAGAAGGATGGATCCTAGAAAACAGGAGCCCTCGGGCCGCTCTTCTCGGGGCTTTTTAATAAGACTGGCAGAATGGCTGAGGCGTGGGGGGCTGGGCTGCTCATCCACAGTGTTTCCAGGTGCCTCTCAGTTTGTGTCATCTTCACACGGAGGGTGCACATGCAGGTTGTAGAAGACGGGAAGAAAGATGGCAGGGATCCAGATCACAGCCAGAGCTCCATTCTGCCCAAGACTGAGCCAAGGGCAGGCATTTCCAGCTTCTGGCCCAGGACAAATAACTGAACTACCCTGACCAGTTTCTGTATCCCATTCTTATCATAGTAGAACTTAGAACTAACTTACAGATTTGTGAAAACAAACAAAACCGACCACTTTTTAGAAAAAAAAAGAGGCGGTGTCTCATCTCCATGTAAGGTAAATGCCTATGCTATTGTGGTCTTTTATTGTCATGGGTTCTGTTAATCGGATTTCACTTGTCTGTGTAACTGCAAATCCATCTCATGTCCTCCTCAGCTCTGCGGCGCCTTCCTTGGCAAGTTGCTGCTTTGACTGCAGTGCTTTCCTTCAGCACTGTTGGCCTTCTCCTCCCTTTCCACCAGCTAAAGTGTGTGTGTAGCGTGCCCAGGCTTTCTGCCGTCACTGAGCGCCACTTTGTATGTGTGCCGTAAGTTTCCCTTTCCCCGTTTGATTTGATGCTCTTTTGTATTTGCCTTGCTTTTCGTTGTGCTTTTAATTATATTTCATTGTGTTCGATGACTGACGTTGTAGTCCATCTCTTGCTAATGGCCGAGTTGTTTCCCTCATTTAAGCAATGTCTCTCTGCCTTTGAGAGCACACCTTGCAGAGCTTTATTCCCATTGGCTTTAGTGGTTGTTGCATTCCAGATTGTTCCTCTCTCAGTTACTGTGTTAGGATTTTGATAGTTATATGCATTTTGAAACTAAGGGAATCCTATTTATTTAGATTAAATAACAAAACATATAAAGCAATCCTCTGAGGGCAGTTTTAATATTGTTAATCAGCCCCCCCCCAACCACCACCAGTGATTTAAATAGGGAAAAGTAAAATCTGTAGGTTTTGGTCCATTAACAGCAGATGGTTCTTCCAGATCAGTGTGATTCTATACTGACTCCCTAGTAAGGGGATTTTCTTTTCTGTCCTTTTCTTGGCTAAATCCGTTGGACAGCATTATTCTTTGTAGGTGGCAAACAGACGCTCAAACAAATGAGTTTCATTATGACCGTAATCCTGCCTTTATGGCACCGTTGTTTTTGAGTGTACTCTTCTGTAGACAGGAATAATTTCTGTAGACAGGAATAAGTTCTTTAGTTTTTGTGACTTTCAGCAACTCTAAGATTTTGATGTACTCCTGGGTCATGTGTGAGGGTCTGGTTTCTGGCACAGGTGCTGCTGAAAAGTTTGTCCTTTCCCAGCTAAGAGCACTGGGTGTGCAGTTTCTTCCTAACCCAAGTGCTAGCGCTGTGAGCTGTGTTTGCAGGCATGGGAAATCTGTGCAGCTTCCCATAGCATGAAGTGGGCTGACTCTCTGTCGGAACATAGTCAGGCAGCTCTGTCTTTCTGAGAAAACACACAGCTTTGTCAGTGTTGATGTGCTAACCCAACTCTCACCTCAAAAGAAAAAGAGAGATAACTTAGTCTAGGCCAATTGAGCATTTCCCTAATACTCACAAAGCTAGTCACACACGGGAGTGAGCAGTAAATGGCTATTCATGTTCTAGAATAACCTGTGATGAAAGCGATTCCCTAATACTCACAAAGCTAGTCACACACGGGAGTGAGCAGTAAATGGCTATTCATGTTCTAGAATAACCTATGATGATTTGGTTCTGTGCTTTCAATATTCCATCTCCCTACAATCACTGGAATTGTAACCAGTCTCATAGGTTATTTAATACAGGTATGGCTTTTTCTTTGCCACATCCCTTCACATTGGACAAACATCTGGTTATTAAAAATACATTTTATTGTTAGCCTTTAATATATATTAAAACAATGGAAATTTATCTTTATTTTTCTTTGTTTGCATCTTAAATTTCATAAGAGACTTTTACTTAATTTTGTTTACTCTCCAAAATGTTGAGAAATCTGAAGTAGACTATGTTCCAGGTTTATATTGGTATCATTTGTTGAAATGATACCTGTGCCAAGAACTGTTCTAGGCATGGGAGATCCCAGCAGATCTCCTCAGCCCTACCATCCCTTCTTGGATCGTTAGAACCACTCAGAAGCTCAACAAGACCCTGGGTCCCATCATCTTAAATGCCAGATACAGGATATTTATAACACTAACCAGGGCTCGTGGTTCATCACAAGATGAAATAGAGCTTCTGTGTCAATAAATAAAGTAACAACAGAAACTAAGAAATAAATCTTTCCATACCCTGTATACATTTACAAAGTTTTTGTGTGTGGTGTATTCAAAACCTTGCTATGCAGCTGAAGTCCTAAGTAACTATGAAACCCAGCATCTCAGCCTCACTTCAGACTTACCAAATAGAAACCCTCCTATCAGTGATACGTCCAGGTCAGAGTTAAGTCCCTGGAAATGTGGGAAACACTGGCATAAGAGGCGTTCCACACACTTTTCAGAAATAATGAAAACTAGCAGAACCTCATATTAAACGCTTATGCTTGTTACTACCCAGTTGCAATGCGTGTGACGCATATTTCAATAATGTTTTTTTTCTGGTTGTACCATAGTCAAAAATACTTAACAATTTTTTTAATTAAATAGTTAGGCTTTGTGAGGTCGTGGTGGTGCATACCTTTAATCCCATCACTTGGGAGGCAGAGGTATAATGATATTTGATACTATATATGTAAAACAATATATTTATTTACCAGAGAGAGAGAGAGAGTCGCACAAACCAGGAGTTAGAAGCATGGCTGGCTTCCAGGAGAAAAAGAGAGGTTCCTTTTCCTTTTATATTTACCTGTGTCAGTTTACATGTCCCCGCCCTCATGGGCGGATAGCTTTGTGGGGTTCACTCCTCCACAGAGGCAGATCGAACTCTGTGATTTCAAGGCCATCCTGGTGTATAGACCAAGTTCCAGGACAGCCAGGGCTATGTGGAAAAATCCTGTCTCAGGAAAAAAAAAAGTTAGGTCTCAACCACACAGGAATAGTTTGTACAGTGTTCGTATCTTAATGCTTAGAGAGCCCTTGTTACAGTAGATGTACTATTTCTGTAGAGTCTGGAAACATATTTCCGTAATACTCTTGGCCCATAGCCACATCTTGAAATTTGTGCTAATATCCTTATTGTTGAATAAAGTCTCTGGCGTGAGATCATTTTGTATTTGTAGGAAAGCCACAATTTTAGTTTTTGGAAATTATGGTTTAATATCAGTTAAATAATGCTGATTTAATTGTTAAGGAACCTTTTTGAATCTGATTTTTCTATAACTGATATATAACAACCTGTATAACAAATGAATATGCACCCCCAAAGGGTAGACTATAGCCTTTCACAACACGGTACAAACTTGGCATGGACACCGGGAGTGTGCTCTGCTTAATGCTGCTGGTGCCTCAGCAGACAATGCAGACGTGTGGCGAAGCAGCAGAAGGCGCTTTCCCCAGGAAGGTATGTCAACCAGACAGGGCTGCATTGCAGAATGCCCTGGAAACAGCCCAAAAGGAATTCTAACCCCATAATGCTCCAGTGACTTGCTGTAACAGCTCAGCAGCTGTGTGTAACGCTAGACATTTCCAGGTGGTGAGAGAGGGCGTTCTAATTCCTCAGCAGCCGGTCTCAGTTGTTCTTTCTTTAGCTCCTGGAAAAGATCCAGCATTGGATGACGGGGCGACAGGAAAACAACCTCCAGGGCTCTCTGGATGTGCATCTGTGTTTCCTCACCTGTTGTCTGGCAATGAGGTGGACACAGTAGTCAGTAGTGTCACATTTAGGCAACAGTCGCATGGATTTATGTGCTTTAATTCCCTAAGCTTGATCCCATGTTCTAAGTGTTGCTGTCTTTATAGAAATGACCCCTCACCCCAAGTCAGCAAGCATTGTATTGAACTTTGTTTTTTTCCCTCATTTTCAATCTGTTTAAGCATTTAGCTTTCTATCTGGGTTTTGGAAATAAGAACACACTGGGACTTGGAGGCTCTGCAAAGACTGGAGAGTAACAAGATGACATAGCTCACAGTGAGTGCTAACATGGGGTTCTCGGGAATCCCCAGGGACTGTAGAGCACGAGAGGATGGTGAGGATTTCCAGGTGCCTTATGCCCAGGGCTTTGAGGTACTCTTCAGGCTAGGGTAACTTAGGCCTGGGAAGCCTGGTGGGAACTTGACGCAGTTTTGTTTTAAAACTATAAAATACTTGAATACTTTAGTTTCTGCTGTCTTGATCCACATTTGCTGCCATTCTAGGAACAGTTGGTTTCTGAAACTTCTCCCTTGTCTGTTATCAAGTCACCTGAATTCGTGTTATGGGTTTCAGCAGGTGAGTTAAAGAAAGCCTGTAATAATTTTTGTTGATTTTAACAAATTCAAGTGAAGGGAATCTGCGTGCTGACTGGCTCAAACTGATGACATTCATAGACGCCACTGTTGACTCTCAAGTGTGCTCTGGACTGTGACATTAGGCAGCTGTGGAGGGATCCCGCATATGGCCACGTGGTCACTGGAAACCTATCATCATTTTAACCTTTCTCTTACTGTTAGATGAGTGCCCCAGGTAGCACACCGCTTGAGATAAAAGTCCGGCCGTACACTTCTGCCCTCCCGTTGTACTTTGAAGTGTAAATGGCTTACGTCTAGTTAGTCTTGTTGTGACACTGAATCATTTTTACGGTGTCTACGCCTTAGAGCTGCTTCTGCAGATGCTGACAGGCGCAGAAGCACCACTCACCAGACACAAGGACCCTTGAGAGATGGCTGCGTTCTGTGAGGGGTTTTCAGCTCCCTGGCATTGCAGACTGAGTCATATGTGAGCTGTGCACACTGATGCCGGCTTCAGTGTGTTTATGTTTGCTAACACAGATGATGATCCTTGGTCCTTACTGCACACCTAGGTTTTTTTGAGGCTGTGGTGGTTTGCATGTGAGGTGACACCTACAGGCTCATGTGTTCAAATACTTGGTCTCCAGTTGGTGGTGCTGTCTGGGAAGGTTGTAGAACCCCTCGGGGGTGGAGCCTCCTAGAGGAAATGCCTTACTAGGTAGGCTTCCTTAGAAGGTTGAGAACCCAGTTCTGCTTTCTAGTTTCTCTTCCTCATGTGCTGTGGGAATGCGGTCACGCTGCTTCCTGACTACCAGGGCAGCCTCATGTCCCTGCTGCCATGGCTTCTCTGCAGTGAAGAATCCTTAGCCCTTTGGGAATGCAAGCCGAATAAACTCTTTCTTTGCTAACTTGCTTTTTTTGTCAAGTGTGTCTTTTCACAGCAACAATTATGAGCATAGTGGCCAGCCACATCTGAGAGTTGTCTGTACATCTCTTACATTCTTATGAAAGATCATGGAGATGAAGATAACGAGGTACAGAGAGGTTGATTGTCTTGTCCGTGGTCACACATCTAGTAAGTGGCAGTGTGAGGTTTAGGTATATTCAATTTGACAGCATAGCAAATTATGAAGTGTACATTGTGTGTGTGTGTGTGTGTGTGTGTGTGTGTGTGTGTGTGTGACAGCTAGGTGTGGTTTAGATGTGGTTCTATTTCTCTATTGAGTATTTTTCTTTTTCCCAACCTTTACCATTCTTCTCTCTGAAAACACATTAAACATAGTCTCTTGCTAGTCAGAGCGTCACCATCTTTACTGAGGAATGGTATTCTATTTGGGACTTAGTTTTGAGACAGGATCTTGCTATAGTCCATAAGTTGGCTTTGCAGACTTGGCCTTAAGTAGCTCTTTACCTCAGCCTCCAGGGTAGCTAGACTTGCAGGCACATACTCCTATTTCTTACATTTGTAATTTTATTTTTGGTATTCCTGATTGTAGGGCCCAGTGTTTTTATTATTTCATTATCTTTAAATTTGTCCTTTGCATCTTCAGAGATAGTACTGCCAAATTCTAACATTCAGAAGGGGCTCAAAGTATGTTTTCTGGCCTATACTGTATCTGCTCTACCCAGGTACGTGTTTATGCTTCCAGAATAGTGATGTTAACTTGTACACAGGTTCACATCTCTTGTGGTCAGTCCTACAGTCTAGATATCTGAAGACTGATGCCACTGCCCACCATTAATTCGTGACTCGTGTACTTACTTGGTATCAAACAGTAACTATCAAAACACTCTCCAGGGTTAGTTAAGTAAATGGATATGACTAGAAAATATCATAATGAGTGAGGCAGCCTGACTCAGACAGACAAATGTGACATGTTCTCTCTCATCGAGGCACCTAGCTCCAAATAAAGAAAAGGGTATGCACCCCATACAGCCATTTCAGGGTCCATGAGAAAAACCTAGGACGACAGAAAGGACGTGGTAATCTTCCACTCCCTAATAATTTCCCCGGCTTGAATTGTGGCTAGTGCTGATCTGCATAGAGAGATAGCGTTGAGATGGGAGTCGGGAAGCAGAAACAGAGCTTGTGGACTGAGAGTCAGGAAGAGAGTCCACAGCTGCATGGAGAGAGAGCGTTGAGACGGGAGTCGGGAAGCAGAAACAGTGTGTGTGGCCTGAGAGTCCACCGCTGCAGAATGAGTCACACACTGACCCCTCTTCTGTCAGATGAGTTATATTCTTAGAGAGCTGTATTATTGCTACCTATTTTAACTGCAGAGTTTCAAGGGCTTAGTGGTAAGACGATTCTGTGTACACCTTACCCCTTGCTAGTCACCTGGTAGCCTTCTTAGTTCCACATCTGCTGCTATAGTATCACGGTACTGAGTTCAAGTTCCACAGAATTTGGTAACATTCGGAGTTTCCAGTGTTCAATAGGGTTTTTGTACAGCATCCCACACACATAACGGTGTTTCCTGGGTAGAAACAGACTAAAAATGCAAGCACATACAGCAAGCCCTCCAAAGCTGTGTATCGCGCAAGGTGTCTTTTTGTCTAAACCAGCATAACACTTTCTTCAGCCCCCGTTCATCACGGACTTCTTGATAGCATGTCTTTTAAAAATAGAACCCTGTCACTGCTTTTACAGATACATTCAGGGTTTTGCTTTTAAACAAAACCAAAGTGTTTAAAAACATATAAAGCCAACCCCAAACCGAATTTCATGAAGTTTCCATCGTTAACCTGCGAGATGACTATGTGTGGAATCTCCTGCCACATGACAGCATATGGACATAGATCCTCTCTGCATACCTGTGTCTTTTGAGGATGTTCCTCTTGGTGTCTGAGGGCTTTCATGACTGTTGGGACTTGTGAACTTTAGTCAGTTTTTTTTTGTTCTTTGTACATAGCTAAGGCCATGGTTTGTCTTGTTTTCAGTGGTTTATTATTGAATTTGGAGAATACCATATTTACTTCTGTGAAGAAATTGATTAACTCCAGGGTCCTAATAACCAGGAAGTTTAAACTTACTTGGTGAGCTTTACTCAGAGTCTACGATTCTAATTTTACAATGCATTTTCTCTTGGAAATGAGGGTACAGTGTTGGAGAAGCTCATAAATGCCCACCTAAGGTACAATGTAGCAGAAATGTAATTTCTAGAGAAAAGCTGTTGCTCCCAGCTCCTGAATTTTTTGTTAGAACATATGAAAGAGAGCACACTG